AAAGACATTCTAAGAAAAGAAAATTAAAAGTTTTGACATGTAACTCAGTGAGCAATTTTACACAGAACACTTAGATAGAACATAAACGAGAAGGGAAGCAAGTGGCCCCACTGTGTTCCTCGTTAGATATGAATGGGTGTTAAATTTCTCGTATTTCAAGTATCAGCCTCTTAAGTGTAGGATCCTACTAAGTTTTACTCTTACTATGTTGTCAAAGAGCCATCATGGGTAAAATTTATTCAGCAATTCACAACCTAATGTAAATCAAATGCATGTTCAAGAGAAAAAGGTCCAATGCATCCTTTCTAAGTAAATATAGTTATTACCCAAGGTAAAGCAGTTAACAAACAGATTACCGTTTTTAACGGGGACAAACATCCATGTTGAAGAACTAACTCATTGATAGTAAAAATGCAAGACAAAAAAAATATACTTAGAAGCTAGTTTATCCATTCCACTTAATATAGCAACTACTCAAGTCCAATAAGAAATACACAAGATGTACCTTAGTGCTGACGAAGCCGCAAAGAGCCTTGAACTCTGTGATGGCAATTGCCATCTCAGGCTTATGGTTTGGGTCTTTATAAATGTTAGGTTGCTTCTTGTTTAGTGTCTTTGCCAACTCTTTATCTGGATGTGCTTGTATTGATAAAGCCTTTGCCACCGACAGAACCTAAAGCATATATAAGTAATTAAAGACACCCACATAATATATAAAATGAAATAGGGATAACTAGTATAGATTATATAGCCTATAACTGAAACCTGAAACAAGAAATTGTAATTAAAGAGCATATATAAGATTTAGCAGAAGTTGCAATCTATGACGGAAAAAAAAGCAGAAAGTTACAAGCACAGTGGGAATATCGTTACCAAATCCTGAAACAAGAACAAACAAGTTTGATTTATCTACTGATTAATCAATTTCCCTACTTGGCTAGTAAAAATAAAACTACATAGAATTTGCTCAAGAATTTGCTCAAATAGCAAGAGACAAAATTCTCCATGAAATGCATATATAAGATTTAGCAGAAGTTGCAATCTATGATGGAAAAAAAGCAGAAAGTTACAAGCACAGTGGGAATATCGTTATCAAATCCTGAAACAAGAACAAACAAGTTTGATTTATCTACTGATTAATCAATTTCCCTACTTCGCTAGTAAAAATGAAACTATATAGAATTTGCTCAAGAATTTGCTCAAATAGAAAGATATGTTGAGACAAAATTCTCCATGAAATGCATATATAAGATTTAGCAGAAGTTGCAATCTATGACGGGAAAAAAGCAGAAAGTTACAAGCACAGTGGGAATATCGTTATCAAATCCTGAAACAAGAACAAACAAGTTTGATTTATCTACTGATTAATCAATTTCCCTACTTGGCTAGTAAAAATGAAACTATATAGAATTTGCTCAAGAATTTGCTCAAATAGCAAGATATGTTGAGACAAAATTCTCCATGAAATCACTAGAAACTTTTACCATATTAAGATAATGGAATTTACAAAACTAATTACATGTCTTTTCCGTTGGAATCCAATATCCTTATAGATTCACCTGATAAAACCTGAAATTAGTTACAAAAAATTCAAAAATAAATTAAGGGAAAACTAACAAATGCTTATACTTTCGCAATTAAACTAAAGAAGATTTTTTCCATGGATAAATAAAGTAATAAGAAAAAAAGAAAAATAAAGAAGCAGCTTGAAATAAATTGTTGATCAACAATCCTAATTCAAAATACAAATACAAAAAGAATCAGATTTTTCTCTCTCTGCTTCTTCATTTTTATTTCACCATCACATTTCATGCAGATTGATCACAACCATAAAAATCACTGAAAAATACATAAATTTTGACCCATTATCTTTCCTCTTATTTTCAATAAAGTCTACACCAATCCAAACCAACACACATAAAGTACAGATACAGTTTTCGCTACATCAACAGTAACCATTAATATGCAAATAAAGTGAAAAGGGCATAAATTTCCCAACAGATTCCTTCCAATTCACTGTTGCAACAAAAAAGTGAATCCCCCTTAACAGTAACCATTAATATGCAAATAAAATGAAAAGGGCATAAATTTCCCAACAGATTCCTTCCAATTCACTGTTGTAACAAAAAAGCGAATCCCCCTTACTCCCCCTAATAAAGTAAAAACAGCAACAACTACAACACCTCCATCCATAAGACAACAAACTAAACACCAACATCAAATCATACAAATAAAGTAACATCTCCAAAATAAGACAAACCATCAAAAACAACCTCAATTAAGTAAAAATCCAGTTTTGGCTGGACACTAGAGCAGTGAAAAGGACATAAATCGGGCTGCAGATTCCTCCCAATCCACTCCTATAACAAAGAACGCAATTCCCCAAATAAACAAAAACCAAATTACCTTGAACAAAAAGGGAAGATCAGGGCCCCATTTCTCCAGAACCTTCTCCCCCAAAACCCTAGGGTTCTCCTCCACCCAAGACTTCAACGTCCGATCGCCGACGAACGACGGCCCTGACTCATGAGTCCCCATCCAAAACTCAGCATAGGGTTTCTCCGGTACAATTCTCCCGCCAGAATTCCTCTCGAACAACCTCGATACCGTCGATTCCTCGCCTCGAATCCCCCAATCGTAGTTCTGGATCGAGCAACGGAGCTTGAGGACTCCCCCTCCACCTCCACCGGGATCTGACATTTCACTTCCCATAAACCCTAGATTTGAGGAATGAGAAGGATTTGGGGAATCTGGCCATCGAATTTTTTTTTTCTCCCCCTCAGTTGCGAGTGAAAGCGGGCGGAGTGAGATTTGGGCGGAGATTTAACCGTATTTGTAAATGGGAACGGCCGTATCGGTGGTCGGTGGTGGTTATATCTCTTTTTGAGAGGCAGGGTCGTTTGTTTTCCGCGCTTGATGTTGTGAGTAATTACGGGAGGACCTTCGTCGTTACTCTTGAGTCTGAGGGTATTGGATTTGGACATCTAAGGTCGTGTATCCGTAACCCGATAAGTGAAAATTGTAAGTGTACTATAATAATTGCACTGCTATTGTACTCATTGACTCAAAGAAGTGGAATTCATTCCAACTAATAATTTTCTTTTGCAATTTATAAAAAAAATATCATACTTTTTTTTCCACGTAACAGTGTGTAGGAGTACAAGAATAGTATATCTTTTGTGTACAGTTATCACTACTCATTGATATTGTCTGCATTAATATGTAGCCTTACAGCACTAGTAACTAATAGTAACACGTGCGTCGAGATTGATTTTCTTCTTACTATTAGCTACTATCAACATAATCTAAACCAATGTAGATACATGAAAATTCAATGGACGGGGTTTATCTGTTTAGATCCATTTATCAGTATTTACACTGATATTTTTGTGTGTCTGATAGATATATCAATTAGTTTCCGATAAATTAACACAAATTCTCATGTGCTTCTCAGTAAATTATAAGAAAAAATAGTTATTTTAATTAATTATTATGATTATGATTTCTTACCATTTTTTTTTATTAGAAGATGTTAATGTTGAGTTGGGAGGAGTGGTGGACACTAAGAAATATATTGTTATTATTTCTTTAGTGGTACAGACACATTATACTCTCAAATATAAATACTCTCTCTCTCTCTCTCTCTCTCTCTCTCTCTCTCTCTGTGTGTGTGTGTGTGCGCGCGCGCGCACGCTACTGGGATGGATCTAACACAAACACTTGGGGGTTATTTATTATATTGGTTTAGGGGTAGGTAAACACTATTAAGAGGTTGTTGATTACTGTTGCAAGTTAGGTGGGGGAGGAAGCTGCTGACTTCAACACTCCCACTCAGCAGCGATTTCTCTATCCACAAGTCCAAGAATTCTAACTTCCTTTTCAATGCTTGGATTTCCTCTCTCACTGCTTGTCTCCATTCTTCATTCTCATATGCTTCTTTGAAGGAAGATGGCTACTTCACATCTTTCGTAATGGCCATATTAGCATACTTGGGATTCGGCTTCATGGGTCTGGTTGATATTCGAAGTTGTTCGGTTGGTTCTTCTTTGATATTCTCTATCTGGCTCGGGCGCTCCTCTTCTGATATTATCTGATGAACACCAGTTTTCCATGGATTCTTCTCCTTCGGAGACGTAGGAGAACTTGGTTCTATCTTCTCTAATTGTTGTAGTCCTTCTTCTTGACCTGGCTCTTCCAGCTTCTTTTGCAACCGATACTCTAGATCACTGGAGTCTAGGAGTGCAACTTCTTGTGAAGCCCACCAAGACGAGACTTCGTCAAACACAACATTTCTTGATGTGTAGCATCGTCCGATTGTGGGATCATAACATTTCCATCCTTTTCTTTTATTGTCATACCCCATAAATATACACCTTACAGCCTTTTTATCGAACTTGTTGCATAAGTGATCAGGCACAAAGATATAACATACACAACCGAAGACTCTGAAATGGCTTGAGTTGGTATTCCACAACTTCTGAAATGGTGATATGAACTCCAATTTTAGTTGTGGTAGCCGATTGATCACATGCGTCGCTGTCTTCATACACTCAGTCAAAAAGTGTCCTGGCACGTTCTTGGCATGAAGCATGCTTCTGCAAATTTTAGCGAGATGACGATTCTTTCTTTCTTCTACGCTATTTTGCTATGGAGTATTTGGGCATGTTAGCTGTCACTGAATCTTGTGCTGCTTCAGATAGTCATAAAACTCCTTCGATGTGTACTCTTCCCCATTGTTTGTGCATAGACAACGAATCTTCTTGCCACTTATTCTCTAAATTGCTTAAATTTGGAGAGTGCTTTATACTTTCTTTCATAAAATCAACTCAGTCATATCTCGAATAATCATCGATGAAAGTGATCATATACCGCATCCCACCGATTGATTCTTGTTTTACTTGACTAAATCATCTGAGTGTACAAGCTCCAAAGGTTTTTTGGCTCTAAACTGTGACTCCTGATATGGTAATTGATGCGTATTACCGTACTGACAACCTTCGCATATGACCCTCCTCGAATATCTAAGTGTGGAAGACCCTTCAACATAGACTTCTCCATCATGATCTTGAGCTTGTGATAGCTCACTGGCCAAGTCGAGCATGCCACAAATCAGCCGTCTCATTTTTCCTAGTCTTGTCTATATATGCCGATTTCATTGACATCACATAGATAGATTCTACCTTTCATCCCTCCATGACAGCTTCCCTGGTGGCTTCAAGTTTCGATAGACTTTTACATCTTGTGGCCCAAAAACTACATAGTTTCCAGAAGTTGTTAACTGAGAAACAGATAGAAGGTTCTGTTGGATATCTTGACCCCAAGATATATTGTTTTGATGATAACAAATATTATATGTTGTGTGTATTTTGTGCTAACATATGTTTTGCAGTATCAGAGTAAAATCAACAATGATATTCAAAGAGGTACTCAAGACACAAGGCAATACAAGGATTTGAAGTTGATACAAGGCTAATTGGAGATGAAACAAATAAAGATGCTTCAATGATATAATTGTATTTTGGGTTTTCTTTTATTGGGTAGAATCTTTGTTAAAAGCCTTGATCACTCACAACACATACATGCACATAGTATTTAAAACACATTAACACATGCTTAGTGTGTGGTTAACTATAGAAATACACTAAGTTAACCATTAGAGTTTATAGATATAGAATGTGTCTTAAACATATCAAATATTTCATATCTTAGTATCAGTATTCGACTAATTCACTTAGTAGTCGACTATAGAATCCTCAGTCAAATATCCAAAAACTTTATATTTACAGAGTAGTTGATTACTCTCCTTAATAGTCGACTACTCATTCTCAGTTTCAACTTACAGAAAAACTTAAGTTTTACAATATAGTTGACTAATGCCTTTAGTAGTCGACTATTAACCTATTTCTTGACTTCACAAAGTCTAAATAGACTCAGTGTATATTTTTCAAATTAATTCTAACTATTCTAACTAATTCTAACTAATTCTAACTATTCTAACTATCCAAAAACTAATTCCAACTATTCTATATTTGAATTAGTTGATTGTTTTTAAACGTTTTCCAACGACTATTTATTCAAATTAAGAACGTTATTAACTACTTAACGGTCATTTCCACCTATAAATGGAGGGGTTCTCCTCTTATATTGATAATGGTATACATTAGAACTCTTGACTCTAAAAGTGCATATTTGTCAAGAACACCAATAGAAAAACTCTCTTGCAATTTGTTCTTCAAATCAAATGATTAAAGAGGCAAAATATCTGAGAGTAAAACCTATACCCACAGTGAGAAGCACATCCAATACACTATCAAGGCTTATAGGATCAGTTTTGTACTTTGCTTCAAAGGAAGGTGATAATCACATTTTTATTACAATTTTATACCCTCATTATCTATTTTATATATGAATAAATATACCACTAATAATTGCTTTTATTTTTAATTACAGGTTAATGAAGAATAAATCCCAAAAATCCCATCTCTCAACAAAGGCCATTGAGTAAATAAAGAAATAAGAGAAATTCAAATAATTGAATTTTAAAAGGCCCAAAGAATTGGAATGGACTTGGATGCAAAGAGTGAAATGAATTGGGCTTTTATGCAATCATACAAGACCGGACTTGGTGGATTTTCACAAGCAAATCACTGCTGTAGATTGGGCTTTTATGCAAAAGATTACGAAACCAAATTTGAATTGCTGCAGATGGAGATTTAATGGACCGGATATGATTGCTGGACTTAGAGACTTGGCTTTTTCAAATGAAATGAGACCGGACTTGTGTGCTGCAAAAATTTAAAGGACTTTGGACTGCTGCAGACTTGGAAAATTAAATAAATCCAATGGACCGGACTTTGGACTGCTGGATGCAAGATGGGCCGGTTGCTGATGTAGCTTTGATTTTTTCTCAATGGGCCGAAATCAATTGTTTTCTTTGCTGCTGAAATGAACTTGTTTTCTTTGTTGCTGAGTTTGGTTTTGAAATCATTGTGTATAGATAAATCAAATGGGCTTCTCCGGATTTGGACTTGAGTGCTGCTACAAATTGGATTTTGAATTTCTTTTGAAAATCAAATAAATCAAAGGTGGAGATTGTTGCTTGGGGCTCAAGACAAATCCAATGGCTCATATTCATTGAAGATTACTATAAATAGGGGTAGAGAGTGAGGGGTTAGAGGTGTGAAAATTTTTGTAACTCCTTTTGGAGAGGAGGGCTACTCTTAATTGAGAAGGCCTTCCAAAATTATAACTTTTTGTTGTAATTAATAATAATAATTTTTTCACCACTTTAAATTTTTCTCTTCTTCTCTTTATTGGATGATGAAGATGAAGATGAAGATGGAGAATTATTTGAAGGTTTGCATTTCTTTTCTTTTTCTCTTTTATTGCTTATTAGTTTAGATTTATTTCTATGCTTGTAGTTAGATTTTATTTTCTTGTTAAATAGCCAAGAGGCTAGAACCCTCTTGCCTTAGATTTATTTTATACTTATAGAGTAGATTTATTTTCTTGTATTTAATTCTTGCAATTTTATTTTGTAGTTTAGATTTTATAATTTATTTTGTAGTTAGATTTTAATTTCTTATACTATTCACCTTGAGGCTAGAACCCTCTTGGGTTTAGTTTTTCTTTTTGTTTATTTTTATTTTGTTTGATTCGCCTTTAGGCTAGAACCCTCTAGGGAATCATATTTTTCTAAGAAGTAGGTTCAATTTTAGATTACCCATATCTATAATTGAATCCACCACCTTTAATTTCTTGCATTTTCTTTTATTCTAGAATTTTGTTCTTCATTCTTGATTTTTTTTTATTTGTTTCTTGATTTTATTCATTTTTTCCTTCTCACCTTATTGATCATACTCATTCTTTTTCAAATCCACTCTCACTTACACTTGCACCTATTTACACA